TGACATCCCTGGTCATCTACTTTGTTCACATAAAGATTGACAGGTGCCGGGCCATCTAGACGATGTGTGCAAAATAATTCTTTAAACAAGTAGAGAGCCAGTTGCCTAATTGGGTACAGCATGGCTTGCGAAATCCTCAGTGACTTTGTTCAAAACACACTCTCTGGTGAATCGACTCCGCCCTGGCTCCGCAATGTTTTTGCTTTCCCCTGGTGGTTGAACTCCATCCTTATATATCCCTGTTGTCATTATTATCGTCTTTTCTTGATTGAGGTGCCCCTCATGGACACTGTCTCACTATGGGGCTTACACAGTTGCCCAACCCTTTTTCCTTCAGCATTCGGTCGACCGCCGGAGCAAAAAAGATCGACGCGTCTTAAAGACGGTCTTCCTTCACCTCGCCGTTTTGATGCCCCGGGAGCTCCAACTACTCCAACTCCCTTCGTTTCAAGCCGATTCTGGAAGAACCCAACTTCTGGAAGAACCCAAAAATTGTGCGACGATTTGCTGGACGATTTGCTGGGCAAACCGTAGGCTCCAGAGGAGATGGAAGCCTTGGGATCGGCGGGTGTTATGTTCGCATGTGGGTGAGTGGGATTCTCGCAACCTTTGGGTCACTCGAAGGAAATCTGCGGAATAATGATGGTGCAGTGAATACGACAAATGACCTAAAGGAGCAACACATGATATGGACATCAATTGTGGAAGAACAAGCAATGTCATTCAACAGGTGTTTCAATTTGCTTGAGTTCCATTGGTTTTGGTGAACCTCCGGTTTCACCATGGCAAAACCATTCTATATTTTTCCCCAGATAGCTGGAAGCTATAGGGGTTCTTACTTCTCAATGGATGGGTTCCTGACTGCGGAAATTGGCTGCCGCTGCCGCTGCCGCTGCCGCCTTGTCTCCCAAGCTTGTCTCCCTTCATGATTTCGCTCTTGGCTGCCGCTGCCGCCTTGTTTCCCAAGCTTGTCCCCCTTCATGATTTCGCTTTTGGCTGCCACTGCCGCCTTGTCTCCCAAGCTTGTCTCCCTTCATGACTTCGCTTTTGGCTGCCGCTGCCGCCTTGTCTGTGAAGCTTGTCTCCCTTCATGATTTCGCTCTTGGCTGCCACTGCCGCCTTGTTTCCCAAGCTTGTCTCCCTTCATGACTTCGCTTTTGGCTGCCGCTGCCGCCTTGTCTGTGAAGCTTGTCTCCCTTCATGATTTCGCTCTTGGCTGGCGCTGCTCCCTTGTCTGTGAAGCTTGTCTCCCTTCATGATTTCGTTGTTGGCTGCCGCTGCTGCCTTGTCTGTGAAGCTTGTCTCCCTTCATGATTTCGCTCTTGGCTGCCACTGCCGCCTTGTCTCCCAAGCTTGTCTCCCTTCATGATTTCGCTTTTGGCTGCCGCTGCCGCCTTGTCTCCCAAGCTTGTCTCCCTTCATGATTTCGCTTTTGGCTGCCGCTGCTGCCTTGTCTGTGAAGCTTGTCTCCCTTCATGATTTCGCTGCCGCTGCCGCCTTGTCTCCCAAACTTGTCTCCCTTCATGATTTCGCTCTTGGCTGCCGCTGCCGCCTTGTTTCCCAAGCTTGTCTCCCTTCATGATTTCGCTTTTGGCTGCCGCTGCCGCCTTGTCTGTGAAGCTTGTCTCCTTGTTTCCCAAGCTTGTCTCCCTTCATGATTTCGCTTTTGGCTGCCGCTGCCGCCTTGTCTCCCAAGCTTGTCTCCCTTCATGATTTCGCT